CTCCCTGTCCCACCTGTAGGTGTCGCTCTGACTCTGTGTGTGTGTGTGTGTGTGTGTGTAACCTGGTCCTGACGGTGTGTTTGCTGCGCAGGGCCCTCGGCGCCAACCCGCTGTACTGTAACTGCGACCTGCGCTGGTTGTCTCAGTGGGTCAAGGCCGGCTTCAAGGAACCTGGTAACTAATCATCTGTCAGCACACCTGCCGCCTTGGTGCAGTGCCCGAATCTGACCAGGTGTGGCGCTGTTGTTTCAGGCATCGCTCGCTGTGCCGGGCCTGCAGACATGGCCGACAGGCTGCTGCTCACCACGCCTCTCAACAGGTTCCAGTGTAAAGGTGAGGTGATTCTTTACCGAAGAATCGTAAAAATCGACGTAATTTCTCACCGCGTCGGATAAAAGCTCCATTTTCATGTTGCCTGCAGTTCAAAAACAGGGAAGTGGAACCGGACACGCTCATAAACTTCTGACCAATCCCAGAGCTCGTAGCTTAGCGCCACCCATTAGCGGCGTTCCCGAATTTCCCAATCTCTGTTTTCCAAACTTTGAATTCAGTAAAAACCAAAACGACTCCAAATGTTTCCCTTCAACACAAACAAAGCTGGTTATGTATTTTTCTCTAGATAGAAACTGTAGAACTTTATTCCAGATGATTCCAGGATTAAAGATGTTGATGAGTTTAACTGAAGCAGGATACGTTCCTCCGGTTGCAGCTCTGATCCTCCTCTTCCCAAAACATCCAGGTCCTGTGGACATCAGCCTGATGTCGAAGTGCGCCCCCTGCCTGTCAGCTCCCTGCAGGAACAACGGCACCTGCGTCTCCGGCGCTGCAGGCTCCTACCGCTGCACCTGTCCGTTCGGGTTCAAGGTGAGGAACTGTTAGCCTGCCAGCTGACGGCTCTCGCTCTCTACTGGGACAAAACGTCTGAAGTTACATGTTAAACTTTAATGAACTCAGATTATTGAGGTTGGAGTCCAATCAGCTTCACGTTTTGGTCAAAGCAAAATGCTAATTATTGACAGGAAATTGTTTTTACATCAACAAGGATCCGATGATAAACTCCAGTAAAGTATTTAGTCCATGACAATCAAACATTCATAATCCAACATAATCTGCTAATTCTGGAGTTTCTTCAGATGCGTCTGTTTCTCTCAAAGTTTCATCCTAACTTCTGATCACTCATGTTTCTTTTTAAGCCTTTTGCTCTAATATGTTGGAATTTGAATTATTTCTGAATAATTTAAGATGTTTAATGATCATTTCTTTAAGTTTCACCTGGTTGCTGATCATTTCCTGATTTCTGATGAATTCTGGTGGTTTTATGTTTTTCAGAGCAGAATCCAAATCAATTTTTGTTTAAAAAACATACAGAATGTTTTATCATTCCAACGGTTTACAGTTTTATTCCTGTCACTTTCTACAGTTTTGTGTTTAATGTTAGGTTTTAGTCATATCTGTTCTCTATCTACAAACTTTCCTTATTAATTTGTGAGATTGACGTCAGAGGGACAAAATACCTTTCAGTTTAAAAGCTTTAATCTGTTAGATTATTGAGGAATTAGGTTCAACCTTATCAATTGATCTAAACACAACAGATCAACTGCAGTTGACCTTTCAAAATAAAGCTCACGAGTCTCTCTCCATTGCAGGGCAGATTCAAGCAAAAGACGAAGTGACTGTTGATCCAGAAAGAATCATGTTAACTGATTAAGATGGACTTTCAGAATAAGAGTCGATTTAGAAAACAGTATTTTTCCTTTTTCTCTCAGAACTAAAACTGTAATGAAAGTGGATGTTTGATTTTCAAAATAAGAGTTTAAAATGTGCAGCTTCTGCTTCATGGCGGCTCCTGTGTTGAACCGAACTCATGTTTGGTCAGGAATCCAAACTCTGCGCATGTTTTCCCTGATAGTCCAGAGAATATTTTACTGTATCTCTGTGATTTATGGCCTCGTTAATCTTTGTTATGAGTTTCATCGGCTGCCTGAGCTTCTGGACCGACTCCAAGCACTTTATCAAACCTGAAACGTTTATTAGCCTTTCTGGAAGACGTCAAAGTCTGAACTCAGAACGTTGGAGTCACGTCCCTCTGGGACCAGCAGGGGGCGACAGCAGAGAGGAAACACTGAACTAAAAGAGGAAGAAAGAAAGAAGTGGAGGAAGCTGCTGCTAACGCCACTTCCTGTCTCTCTCTGCGACTTCCTGTCCCCCCTTCGTCCCCTCGTCCTTCCTGTCTCTCAGGGTCAGGACTGTGAGGTGGCGATCAACGCCTGCATCAGCTTCCCGTGTCATAACGGAGGAACCTGCCACATCCCACCTGGACGGGACGACCAGTTCAGGTGAGGCTCGGAGCCGTCCAATCAGAGGTTCTGATCCATTTCCCTTTGGGATCAATAAAGTATTTTTGAATTTTATTTTGAATAGATAATCCATCTGATAAAATATTTACTGAACTCTGATCCAGAACCGCACAGCATTCTGGGAGATGCAGGCAGAGGAAAGACCTCTCAATGTGAGCTAAGCTAGCCGGTAGCATCGGCTAACTCGTTCTTTGGTTGCCTAGCAACAACCTGTAGAGTAACTGTGTCGTTCCTTAGTAACGACAACAAAATGAAAAACACCACCAGGTGGCAGCATTCAGTACTACATGACAAAATATGATCAATAATTATCGATATCGACTGTGTGTGTGTTCCTGTGTGTGTGTCCCTGTGTGTGTGTGTGTCCCTGTGTGTGTGTCCCTGTGTGTGTGTGTCCCTGTGTGTGTGTCCCTGTGTGTGTGTGTGTCCCTGTGTGTGTGTGTGTCCCTGTGTGTGTGTATGTGTGTGTGTGTGTCCCTGTGTGTGTGTGTGTGTCCCTGTGTGTTTGTGTGTGTGTCCCTGTGTGTGTGTGTCCCTGTGTGTGTGTGTGTCCCTGTGTGTGTGTGTGTGTGTGTGTGTCCCTGTGTGTGTTCCTGTGTGTGTCTTTGTGTGTGTGTTCCTGTGTGTGTCCCTGTGTGTGTGTCCCTGTGTGTGTGTTCCTGTGTGTGTCTTTGTGTGTGTGTGTTCCTGTGTGTGTGTCCCTGTGTGTGTGTGTGTGTGTGTGTGTGTTCCTGTGTGTGTGTCCCTGTGTGTGTGTGTTCCTGTGTGTGTGTCCCTGTGTGTGTGTGTTCCTGTGTGTGTGTCCCTGTGTGTGTGTGTCTCTGTGTGTGTGTGTGTGTGTGTGTCCCTGTGTGTGTGTGTGTGTCCCTGTGTGTGTGTCCCTGTGTGTGTGTTCCTGTGTGTGTGTCCCTGTGTGTGTGTGTGCAGCTGTGTGTGTCCGCCAGGCTTCGAGGGTCCGCGCTGTGAGATAAATCCTGACGATTGCGACGATAACGATTGTGAGAACAACTCCACCTGCTTTGATGGCATCAACAACTACACCTGTCTGTGCCCGCCCAACTACACTGGTACACACACACATTTAACAGCTCCTGGTCACACCAGCAGGCCTGGGGTCAGAGGTCAGGTTTCTGTCCACCATCAGAATCTCAATTCGCTCAAATCCAGGAATTTGGAAAAAAGTAAAAGTTCCTGAATTATTCCTGAAAGCTTTTTCCTCAGGTCCAACTTCCTGTCCGCTGACCTTTGACCTTTTGGACTTGCTGCTCTGCCCCCTGTGAAGCCTCTGAGCCTTGACCCTTGAGTCTCTCTGCCCCAGGTGACCTGTGTGACGAGGTGGTGGACCCGTGTCTCGCCGGTTTCGACCCGTGTCAGCACGACTCTAAGTGCGTCCAAGTCGGCCGCGGCTACAGGTGAGGCCGGCTCCACGAGGGGTCAAAGCTCACCAAGGTCATGTCCTGGAGGACGAGGCTGGAGCAGGGAGGTCACTTCCTGTTTTATTTTCCTCAAAACAAAACTGTGTGGGTCAAAACTTTACATACAGGCTAAAATAATAAAGGAGCTAAAAACACGAATTACGCAAATGTGGCGCACATTTTCATGGAATAGTTGTAGTAAATTAAAACTGCTTTGGGTTTTATCGTGTGGTATTTACGAGTTGCGTCGCAGCTTGACGTGGTGGTGGAGACGGTTGTTGTGTCTCTTGTTTTCTAACGGATGTGTAGCGATGCGCTAACGAAGTTACTTTGTTACAAATATTAAATTAAATGTTGCGGACTCAATCGCAAAAGCCCGTTTGATTGTCACATCGCTACACAAACAAACGAAACAAAACATGTTTACATCTCCTCGCTTTCTGATTGGCTGTCGTTCAACAGGCTGCAACCTCGTTTGACCTCACTGGTCATGTTGGATATTTTAGATCGGAGGAAATTTTCTGATTACGTTTGGAGTCATCTTGATAATCTTCATGTTGTCAGAAGGAGAAAATCTAAACATAAAACTCTTTTGCTTCTCCAACTTTCTTCTGGACTTCCTGTTTTCACTGAAGTTCTCGTCCCGTACAATTCGGTTGTCGACTCCCCCTTGTGGGCTGGAGGACCCAGTTTGGTGCCGTCAGCCATGATTTATACTGTTTTTGCCATTTTTACTCTTTTGCATCCATTTCTCTGCATGGTTTTTCTGTTGGACTTGTTTTGGAGTCAGCATCAGTTGCGTTTCGCCATTTTATAAAACGGTCGTACGTTTGACCCGACCCGGCTGTAAAGTCGGATCAGAACCACAGAAAATCCACAGAAACTTCTCCTCAGACAATGTGTTTTCTCATCCACTGATGCTGGCTGTCGATTGACCTTTGACCTGGTGTGTGACCAGGTGCGAGTGTCCGCCGGGCTTCGTGGGGCAGCGGTGCGAGCTGGACTACGACGACTGTCTGGAGAACAAATGCCAGCATGGAGCCGAGTGCGTGGACGCAGTCAACGGGTACACCTGCGTCTGCAAGGAGGGCTTCAGGTGGGCCTGTGTGTGTGTGTGTGTGTGTGTGTGTGTGTGTGTGTGTGTGTGTGTGTGTGTGTGTGTGTGTGTCTGTGTGTGTGTGTGTGTGTGCGCAGCTGGTGAGAGTGAAACTAAATCATTAAATTAAAAGTTTTATTTGTTTGTAAAAATATTTTTCCTGTATTTTCTTTGAAGTTGCGACTAATTGGACTTTCAGAGATCAGGGATTCGATGAGACGCTTCAAGGCTTGGAAGGAGATTTTTCTGTAAACTATTTTACTACCAAACTGCAGAGTTTGATAGACATTTGATTAAAAGTCTAAATTTTATTTGAGTTAAAACCAGATATTTAAACGTTTTCTCAGCTCATCTGATCTTTTTCTTGTTTTCAGACAGTTAAAATTAACCAAATTATTTATTTTTAATAAATGTCAGAAAACTTGGTAGGAACGATTTTTTACTTTGTCACACCAGTATTGGGACGATACTTCCAAAAATTAAATAATTCAAATAAAACAATGACAATAAAGTGATACAAGAATAAAGTTACAATATTATGACTTTGTTTTTTCAGTGGTTGTAAAAAACTCCTTTTGTATGTAAGAGACATTAGAAAACAAAATGAACGTGTTGCTGCTGTTGAATATGAAAGACTATCACAGATTTTAGCAACGGGATTAAATTATGTAAAATAGTGAATTAAAACTGTTTTTCATTTCGTTTGTTTTTATCTCCAAAGTTTAAAACCTTTTTATAATTTTTCTGCTTCATTGATAAACTTCATGGAGTTTCATTCAGATCCTTTTATTCTGAAATGTCCCACCTCACTTCCTGCCGCCTCTCCCCCAGTGGGCTGTTCTGTGAGAACCCTCCACCAATGATCTTGCTGCAGACCAGCCCCTGCGACCAATCAGAGTGCCAGAACGGCGCCCAGTGCCTGGTGGTTGCCGGGGAACCCATCTGCCGGTGCACATCTGGTTACCACGGCAATACCTGCGACAAACTCTCCTCCGTCCACTTCCTGGGTCGAGACGGCTTCGTGGAGCTGCACGGCACCAAGCTGCGACCCACTGCGCATATTTCACTGCAGGTGGGGCTGACCTTTGACCTTTGTCTGCAGTAGAATGGGTCGATGGGGTGGCTTGAGATGAGCCCACAGCATGACGCTGCCGCTACCCGGCTGGGCCGTCTGTCGGTCCGAAGTGAAGTTATGACAGTTTTCTCTCCGTTTATTGATTAATTGGTCGTATTGATTCGGTATGAATGAATTGATCGTATTGATCAGCGGCGTCCTCTCTTCCAGGTGGCCACTGATAAGGACAACGGCGTCCTGCTGTATAAGGACGACCTCGACCCGCTGGCGCTGGAGCTGTACCAGGGACACATCCGCCTCATTTATGACATCACCAACTACCCGCCCACCACCGTGTACAGGTGAGCTCACCTGGCCTCTTCTAAACCGGTTATTCCTTGATTTAAAGCAGAATTTCCTGTAAAATTCTGCTTTAAATCAAGCAGAATTTTACAGTGTGTGTGTGTGTGTCTGTGTGTGTGTGTGTCTGTGTGTGTGTCTGTGTGTGTGTGTGTGGGTTTGTGCGTCTGTGTGTGTGTGTTGGTGTGTCTGTGTGTGTGTGTCTGTGTGTGTGTGTCTGTGTGTGTGTGTGTGTGTCTGTGTGTGTGTGTGTGTGTGTGTGTGTGTGTGTGTGTGTGTGTGTGTGGGTTTGTGCGTCTGTGTGTGTGTCTGTGTGTGTGTGTTGGTGTGTCTGTGTGTGTCTGTGTGTGTGTCTGTGTGTGTGTGTGTGTGTGTCTGTGTGTGTGTGTGTGTGTGTCTGTGTGTGTGTGTCTGTGTGTGTGTTGGTGTGTCTGTGTGTGTGTGTGTGTGTCTGTGTGTGTGTGTGCGTGTGTGTGTGTGTGTGTGTGTGTGTGTGTGTGTGTGTGTGTGTGTGTGTGTGTGCATTAATCCGCTGCCCTTTACTAAATGTCATGCTAATCTCCCATCAGGTCACAGAGAGATGAGCTTCTGTTGTTCATCAGCAAACAATGGAGGGAAGAACTGATGATAAAATGGCTGCAATGGTCATCAACAAAAGTTTTTGCAATAAATTTGCCAATATTTATCCCAGATAAATGCTTCTGATTTCAAATCCTTCATAATTGAAACCATAGAAAACATATTTACTAATAACTAATTATTTTTCTCTAAATGATCCATTTAGACTTTAGAGGAATGGTTTTCTGTAAATGCAGCCATATATACAATCATATTTACTTGATCTTGTTTCCATTTTTTGGTTGGCTTTTTTTCAAAATGGCTGCCATGATTGTATATGAGAAAATGTTTTTTCTAAAATCAGCCATAATTATTGCCAATGGCTAGGTTCACTTAGCAAGAATCTCAGATATGCTAATGCTAAACTGCAAAGCACATTTTAAAAAGTACCAGAAACTAATACTAGACTGCTAAACACAAAAAAGCATAAGCTAATAACTAACACTAAACTGTTTAGTATGCTAAAAAGTTAACAGAAGCTAATGCTAAACTGCTATACAAATAAAAAGACAAGTAGAAGCTAACGTTAATGTTTCTCTTGTCCTTTTGGGGCTGAGCCTTGTTAACACTAAAATCCTCAGTTTCTGATTCTGCTGCATTTTGTCAAGTTAAAGTTTTATAAACATGATGAGACGTAAAGTTCATCCAAGTCATGAAGCTAGGAAACATTTTATGGCAAAAAATGGCTGCCATCAAGTAGTTAAGGAGAACATTCGACCTGGGAGGTTAGCATGCTAATGCTCATAGTTGTATCCACACCCAATGTTGCTGCAGAATCAGCAGAAAGTATTCACACCCAGAAGGTGAAGTGGGAGGAAATAGCGTTAGCGAAGAGCCAGCTGTTCTCAGGTCCAGATGCTCTGCAGTGCTCCTGCTGCAGGGATCAAACACACCGCTCCCTGGTGGACGGGTGGTGTCACAGCAGCAGACTGGAAAATGTTCCTGGAGGATCTGCTGCTGCAGACATGAAGAGAACTTTGACTAGGACGGTGTGAGTCCGCCTCAAAGGACTCACACCATTATTTAGTGACATTGTTGCTAATGGAAACCATGTCCGCTGCTCTCAGCTACAAACTTCACATTTACACCATCACTAAGAAAGTAATCGCACCGTTCACATCCGCAGCCTGTTTTATGAACACATGGACACGTGAATGCAACGGTGAAAACCAAATGATTCACGTTTCCACGGCTTCAGGTGTGACACGCATGTGTGTGTTTCAGCGTGGAGTCGGTGAGCGACGGACTCTTCCACACCATAGAGCTGCTGATCCAGAACCGCTCACTCAGCCTGGTGGTGGACAACGGCGCCCCCAAGAGTCTGGGCAAGCTGGGCCGCCAGCCCTCCGTCGACCACAACACCCAGCTCTACATCGGCGGTACACACACACACACACACACACACACACACACACACACACACACACACACACACACACATACACACACACACACACACACACAGCTGCAGCTCTTGCTGCGCTCCAGCAGGGGGCAGCAGTGTGGAGGAAATAATCACCAGCTAATCAATTAATCGTTAACTGGAATGTTGAGACTGATTATTGGCCGAGGAATAATTAAATCAAAACTGTGCAAAAGAAATATTTTACATTTAAGATGAAAATCCGTCTGTAGATCTGTGTGACCCACAATTCCTGAAAAGGTGCTGGAAAAGAAAAATAGATCAATAAAAATCATGCAAACTTTACTCTCAAAATTTGACTTTAAAACTTAAAACTTTTTTCTCATAATTTTAACCTTTTCCTCCAAAATTCTGACTTTTATTTCATAATTTTGACTTTTTAATCTTAAATTCTTCATTCTTTGCTGTTTGTCTTATAATAGTCTAAATGGGGAGTCTGAGCCGTCTTCAGGCATTTCCTCAGGCTGATCTTTGCGCTGCGTGTTCTCAGGAGTGCCCCCCCTGGTGGCGGCCTCAGGGCTGCGTCCCGGCCCGGAGCGTCCTCCTCCGGGTTTCGACGGCTGCATCCACAACGTTCGGATCAACGGAGAGATGCAGGACCTGACCTTCAGAACCACAGCAGAAGCGCCTGGCCAGGTGAGACTGAGCGCCGACATCATTGGGGTCTGACCTCTGACCTCTGGTTTAACTCCACCCATCACTGATGTGGATTCTGACTTCAACCTCAGAATTAAAACGTTTCACAAAATGTTGACATTAATCTCAAACTTTGACTTAATTTAAGACAGAATTAATTTAATATATGAATTTGTATTTTAATATATTTTAATATTAGAATTAAAAAACTTAAGTTTTGACATCAAAATCATTTTTTACTTTTTTCTCAGAATTTTAACAGTTTTTGTTAAAATTCTGATTTTGCCTGGTGACCAGTTGTTGCTTTGTAAATAGTTGACTGAAGCGTTTGTCCAGGGCCCGGCGGTTCTGGTCGGGTGCCACGCCTGCAGTGTGTGCGCAACTGGAGCCTGCAGGGAGGGAGGTCAGACCGGGGTCACCTGCAGCTGCCCTCCGGGTCGGATGGGGGCGCTGTGCGACGAGACGGCGGCCAGCGACCCCTGTCAGAACATCAGGTGAGCCGGTCGGGTCCGGTCCGGTCCGGTCCGGTCGGGTCGGGTCGGGTCGGGTCGGTTTGTTCTAAATCCAAACGTGACTGAATGAGAAAAAGTTTGGGCAGAATATTTAGCATCCTCTCTGTCTTAAAGGGCCGGTATCATCTTTCCATCATGTTGCATTCTTTCATCAGAAACAAACATGGAGTTTTGTTTTGGTTCCTTCATACTTGTTCCTTTAAACGCCTGGGTGGCCCTAGCCCCGCCTCCAGGGTGCAGCTCCTCCCCTACTCAGCTTCTGCAGACTATCCAGCAACAATTAGAGTCAGCTGAGCTGCTGCTCAGAGCAGCGCTGGTAAAAAACATTAAAGGGTTAACAGAGGAGCCATGTTGGGACGACTTCCTGGAGGCGGAGCTTCAGGAAGAGTTTTCAATTTGAAGAAATAAAAACAGGAAGTAACATTTATTTGAAGCCATTTTTGATACATGTAGCATTTTTATAACAACTATAGGAAGCCTGGAAAACCGGCCCTTTAAATCAGCAGTTAGCAGGTGACTCTGACCCCTCCAGGTGTGTCCATGGTACCTGCGTTGCCACGGCGCAGGCCTACAGCTGCCGCTGCGCCGACGGCTACCAAGGCCCGTCCTGCGACCGGCCCGCCTGCGGCTGCGTCCACGGAGAGTGCCGGACCTCCGAGTCCGGGGTTCTGGTCTGCCACTGCGAGCCGGGCTTCACCGGACCCGCCTGCAACACAGGTAAGACGGGCGCCCGCCGACCTTCGACCTCGCCGACTCTCTGACCCCGCGCCTCACCGCCTGCCCCTCCCCCGCCGCAGAGCTGCGCTGCCAGGGCGAGACGTTGCGGGAGCAGCTGAAGCGGCACCAGGCCATGCGGACCTGCACCTCCACCAGCAGGGTGCCGCGCGTGGCGTGTCCCGGTCCTGCCAGGCGGCGGCGCCGCCCGGCGTCTGCTGCGGCGTCACCAAGACGCGCCGGCGGAAGGTGGCGTTCCGCTGCACGGACGGGTCGTCGTACTCAGAGGAGCTGGAGACGGCCCTGGAGTGCGGCTGCGGCCGGTGCCCACTGTAGGCCCCGCCCACCAGCTGTAGGCCCCGCCCACCAGCTGTAGGCCCCGCCCACCAGCTGTAGGCCCCGCCCACCAGCTGTAGGCCCCGCCCACCAGCTGTAGGCCCCGCCCATCAGAGGAGCGGCCCTGGACGAGCAGAACAGACACTCAGAGAAAATATATTGTAAAATATATGTGAGAAACATAGAACTTATTTTTATTATGGATTTTTCTAAGATGATAAAAAGACTGATAAGTTGTTTTTAATGTTTCATAGTATAAAAATATTTTCTACCTTTGTAATAAACTAGATTAACATTCCTTAAAGTATCTGAATTTAAAAGTTTTAATGTAAATCTTTATAAATATTTCCTCTAACCAAGCGATTCTGATGTATTCGGCGTATTAGCATGACGTTAATGTGAGAAGAGGCTCCGCCCACCAGGACTCGGACCGCAGCGCCAACAGGTCAAACCAGGTGTCTCCTTCACACTGGAGCCCTCTGACCTCTGACCTCAGCTGCAGTCCAGTCTCCTCCAATTTCTCTCGAGACTCGTTTCTTCTGCATTTTTTCCTTCCACTCAACTTTCTATGAGCATCTCTTCTTCCTCTGAGGGTTGAGCCGAGGTCTTGCATCAGATCCGGTTTTTATCGTATTAATAGATGAATTATTGGAGTTCAATCAGAGATTCCTCCTCAGGGATCCGGCAGGTCCGCCCGACCAGAACCACCTGCCTTATCGCCATGGAAACCAGCTCTTCTTCTGTGCCTTTCTGGAGTCAGATGTTTTCTGTCCAGCTGCTGTGGACGGTTTGGATGTTTCCGAGGTTCTGCCGACCCGGACCGGACTGAACCGGCCCGGCGGTTCTGAAACTGATCCAGCAGCGTAACGATGAATGTGAAATTGTTTGGGGATCAAACTCCTCTTCCTCCTCCTCTTCCTCCTCTTCCTCCTCCTCCTCTTTCTCCTCTTCCTTCTCCTCCTCCTCTTCCTCCTCCTCCTCTTCCTCTTCCTCTTTCTCCTCCTCCTCCTCTTCCTCTTCCTACTCCTCTTCCTCGGTGCAACGCCACAGAAACAAAATGGAGTCTGTTGGGAAATTTAGATTCACAATTTGAATTTTTTTTTTCCATTTTTGTTTCTGCTGCTTCTAAAATTGACAAAACGCTAAAAAACAACAACAGTGTTGTTGTTGTTGTTGTTTAGGTTTTTTAGTGTCTTGAAAATGAGCCAATCAGCAGGCACTGCCCTGTTACCTAGCAACCAGAGCAGCGCTGATAGCGGCTGGTTTTTATTTTATTTATGCAGGTTGTAAAAACACGACATCAAAACAAACCGTTCAGAAATTTGACTTGTATAATTAAGCCGATAAAATATGAGCTAAAACCAAAATAAAGTTTAAAATCACACTCTTGTTAATTGTGAAGGAGGCTCTACTTCTGCTTTTCAAAGATGTTCGGTGCTTTGCAGCCATTTTCAGCTGAGGGTAAACTTTGTTGGGGGCGTGGCCAGCAGCAGCTTATTTGGATTTAAAGTGACAGTGCCCTAAAACAGCTCATAAAGAAAATGACCTAAGAATTATTTTGTGCAAAAAATAAAAGGAACATGTTTTGTGTAGACCACAGGCTGCCCCTCCCTCTGCCCGGGTGGAGAGCCAAACACCAGCAGCTCCTGTCATGACTCCTCCTCTTCCTCCACTGGACAGCAGCTTCATACAGGAAGTGTAATGGGGCGGCCATCTTGGAACTACTGGAATGTTTTTAGTTTTGATTACATCAAACCTTCAGCGACTAGACCTGCAGCACTTCTTCCTTCTTCTGCCCCTCCAGGAGTCCCAGACACCCATGTGACTCCTCCCACTCTCACTCCTCCCACTCTCACTCCTCCCACTCTCACTCCTCCCACTCTCACTCCCACCATCCTGTCCCGCCTGTTAAAGGTTCATTGTGAACAGAATAAACCTCAGCTACTAGTTATTGACAGTAACTAAACTGATCTGTACTCTCACCTGTAAAGGTCGTAGGTTACATTTAATAAATTATGTGATTATAACTGATGGTTTAATTGAATGTTGGAATTAAACGTCTTGAAACCAGTGAAGTCAAAATGCAGTTTGTTGATCCCTGAAGGAGGAAGTTGCTCTGGCTGGAAATGTTTTTGTTCAGAACTGGATGAATTTTTATGAAATTCACACTTTTTTCAGATTTTGCTGAGTTTAAAAGTTCAATGTGGTTTTTCACTGCCAGGCCAGTAGAGGTCACTAATGAGGCCATCAAAGTCACATGTCTAACTGCACCAGCTAATGCTAACATTTTCCTGTACTATTGGCAGAGCCAGCATATTCATGGTAGTTGTTAGCCTGTACAAGGCTAATGACACCATATCTACTGCTAATGCTAAGCTATCCATGCTAATGGCCAACAGAGAAAAAAGACAGTCCAGTTGCTGTCCAGCCTCTCCAAAGCTAATGCTAGCTCGTGCGCTCCTCGTGTGGTTGCTAAGTTACCATTGACCTATCAGCAAACAGATCAGTACCTTCTCATGGCCTTATTCTCCTGTGTTAAGGAAGTAGCCATTGGTGGACCAGAGTCTTAATTTTGGCACTTAAGCTGTTCCATACACATCTCAAGGTGAGCTGTGAGTCAAACTGTCTTCCTGTCCAAACGTATTTGTCTTCAAAGGACCGACCTTTGCCCTTCAGATGACCTGCTGAGCGTCGGCAAGTTGTGTTGCTGTTTCCTTCCTCTCGATTTCATCTGATGATTCAGTTTTAGCTGAAAACCTGAAGACATTATTCATTTTACTGAAGCGCCGATGTCACAGTTGCTGCTGATTGGTTCGTTGGCGTTGTGACGTCATAACTGAAGTTTAAAAGCTTTCTGAAAGTCGTTTCTAAAGATTTGCTTTTCAATTGTTTTCTTTGGCGCCATCTGGTGGCCAAATGTCAGAAGTACAGCTTTGAGCTTCTCTACCCGCAGAACCAGAACCAACCAATGATTCACCTGCCTGATTTCTATTGGGATCCAACTTGAGGCTCGGGGGCCGTTTATGGTACCAGATTGCAGTTCTAGGAGCCACAGGAGACTTTTTATTATATAACATAATCATCTTAACTAAATATTATTTTAATGAAGCTTTTTATTCATTGGCAGATTTATTCTCATGGTAAGAGATAGTGAAGTTAAGCAGAAAAAGCAGACAGTAAATGATTCATGTCAACGTTTCTGAGTCCAAGTCCCAGTTTTTACCTAAAGAGTGGAGGTTCTATCAGAACCAAGCAGAACCGACCAGAACTTGGCTATAATGATTGAAGTTCAGAGAGACAAGCGAGTCATGAATGAAGAAACGGCGCGGATCAGAAACACACAGCAGACCCTCGTCCTCTCCGGATCAGAACAGGGCGTGGCCAAGCGCCTGCAGCAGGTCCAACTCCAGGTAAACCCGGCAGAACGACAGGAAGACGCCGACGGCCGAGAACCCGATCAGAGCCCACAGAACCCGAGCGCTGAAGTAGAGCGGAGCCAAACTGAAAGAGAGCAGACCAGAACTTTAACAGAACCTGAACAGAACTGTCTTCATGGATCTGTTTCTGCTGGGAAACATCTGGTTCTGATCCAAACCAGCAGCAGGTTCTAATAGTTTCATTGAGTTTTTGTCTCTTACAAAAACAGTTTTTAGGGCATTTTCTAGTTATTAGTGTTAGTTTTAATACTTTGGTTCATTTTTAAGTGCAGAGACTCAAAAAGATCAAAGAAGTGTGATTACATTTACGTTATTTCCACAAAATGTTTTAAATGATTGTTGACCAATCAGCAGATTGGAGAATTATCTAAACCTTTGTTGTGTTGCCGCCCAGCGCCACCAGGGGTCGCCAGGCGCGCCTCTATTTGCCAATAAACAAAATAAACTGTGGGACAATTTCACATCAGTTTGAAAAGCTAATAGATTTATAAACACAAAAGCAACTTTCATTAAATCTGTTGCTGCAGTGTGATTTAGTTTTTCCTCAATAGAACTGTTTTTATTTCAGTTTCTGTTATTTCATTATTTTTAGACATTATAATAACTATAACAACCTCAGCCATAAGTTTATCAGCTAAATATTTTCATCTAGAGTGATTAAATATTAAAGTTCAGCTGCAGAACCAGAACCATCGAATCCGACCCAAAGCGCCTACCGTCCCTGAGCCGACTGGGCGTAGCCCCAGAAGTAACACAGCCGTCCATAAAGGTAGAGCAGGCCGCAGAGGCTGGACAGGCCTGCAACACACACACACAAGCACATGGACACACACACACACACACACACAAACACACACACACACACACACACACACACACACACACCACACACACACTCTTAGAGAAGTCCTAACAGGTAAGTGGGCCAGGTTCTCGCGGCCGGCGGCTCACCTTGGCTGAAGAAGACTCCGGACATCCACAGGATGGTGATGAAGATGGGGAAGTACTCTGAACAATTCGCTCTGAAACATTGACAGGAAGTCACCATCAGGGGACGCCAGAGAGCCTCTAACCACCAACACAGAGCAACTTCCTGCAGGTGGGAAAAAACTACCAAGAGCTTTGCAGATCAAGAAAAGGAGTACATCGTCAAAATAATTCCCAGAAAAAACATTTACTTTTATTTTCCTAGCAAATGTTTATGTAGTTATTGTTACATGGGGCGGCCAGCAGGTGTCACTGTTGTGCTCTGTTCAGCTTCTGTTGATCAAACTCGCTGACATAACGGACAAAGATGGAGGCCACTTTTTATTTTCAAATAAACACTGAAAATATTTATTTCTCTAGTCATCTTTTGTTTTAATTTCTCCAATAATAAAGAGACAATCAAGCCAAAGCAGACTAATTTGGAAATCACTGTTGATCATCAGAAACATTAAGAGGGTTTTGAAGAGTTGAGGCATGAAATGACAAAAGAATATTATTAGAAAGTTTATGCTTTTATTGCTTTTGCAGTTTTTTTATATTTGGAAACAAAGGTTGGGCAGCACATGTTGATTTCAGCCAAGTGTGATCAATACAAACAGACATTGTTAATAAAAGAAACAATTTGTCAAGTACCTGAATAAATAATCAGTTCATACAAACATACACTCATATAAAACCCCACAGCCAGAAAAAATGTTATTCTTGATTACTGTATTGTTATAGTAAATGTTTAAATTATTTTTAACTTTAGCAATTTTACTGTTATTTTTTTTAATTCATATCATTTTTCTGTTTCTTTTATTTATTAAAATAATAGTTATCATTATCTGATCTCAATCTGATCTGGTCCATTTTTCCTCCAGAACTGTGTTTAGTCATTTTCAGGTCTATATGTTATAAAACCAAACGAAACCTGTTCATGTAAAGGTCAAAGGTCACACTAAAGGTGGAAAAATACCCTGGTATTTAAAATGAAAAAAAAAAAATTCTCATCATAATAAGAACGTTTTTATAATTAGAATAATAAAGTTCATATTATGAACTTTCAGTTATAAATTTTTTAAAGTTATTTTAAAATTATTTAATATTATTTTTTTTATTTCTGAACGTCTAAAGAAGCCAATAGCATTCTATTGGAATTTGGCTCAAAGGCGCCCCCTCCATTGTTCCAACAGTTGGATCTCCCTGATTCATCAGCCTGTAGATTGAAACTTTATCCACTAATATTTCATAACCACACATGACGCGTATCAAACCCTACAGGAAGTCCTTGCCAATCCTTCCCACAAAACAGGAAGTGACAGTAAATCCTTTTTGGAAGATCAGCTTTCACCAAACTTTTAAGACATGCTGCTGGACTCACATTGGACTGAAGGTTATATGGAAGGTGTACTAAAAGCGCTGCCTGGTGGATGGGTGTGGGAACGGCGTGAAAGAGTGCATGGTGGGATGGGCACAGGGCCGGAGCGACACTGTTCTACGAGGGACATACCTGGCTGCTTGGAGCTTTAATTATTATTTTTATTAGTATTTTCTTTTTCCTCTTTCTTTTTCATCAAATTATCAAGTTGTATCGTTTAATAGCATTTTGGTGCAGTTTCAAACTGCTCTATGAATAAATTTGACATTGCTGGGACTTTACACCGACTTTCATTCATTTTCCACAGCCTGACCCAAAAACAGTGTTTCCCTCATGCGGACTAGGATTTGTCCCCACAAGGAGCAGAGGTCCCCACTACCCCAGAATGTAGACAAGTAGGTCCCCACAAGGAAGTAAAAACCTGGTTCCCACACTCACACACACACACAGAGGTACTGACTGGGCTCTGAAGATACGCTCGAACTCCGGCGGTCCGTTAATGCAGGGCGGAGACACCGAATACTTCCTCCTGGCATAAATGACCTGCAGGGAAAAATAAGCTGTGCACACACACACACACACACACACACACACACACACACACACACACATCATCATCCTCGCCTTCATCAGACTGATTTTCATACAAGTTTATTTTCCGGGTCGGTTCCGACCGGACTGTGGGAACATTGGAGGTCCGCTGTGTCAACACTGAATGCAAATTAATTAATAAAAGCTTCAGACAAATAAACTGTTTATCACCAAGACTTCAGAGTTGAGGACAGCAGAGGAAAGCTGAACCGGACCCAGTTCCTGGTTCTTACCTTGCTCCAGAACTCCCAGTACGGTCACAGCGCCGAGTCCGACTGCCTCATCCAGCATGGCTGCAGGCCGACAGGTGAGACTGAGGCTGGGACCAGGGGGAGAGAATACACCTGCAGGGGGCGGGGCCATACCTGCAGGGGGCGGGCCCATATCCGCAGGGGGCGGGGCCACGAAACAGAAAATAAGAGAAACTGGAAAGAGATGGAGCTAAAAAGTGAAAAAGAATTAAATTCACTAAAATAAAAAAATTAACTCTTAAAGTTGGAAGTAAATTGGTAGCAGAGACATTCCTGCCACTCTTGGATTTCGGAGATGTTTTATATATGAATGCCTCGACCAAATGTCTTCAGTCACTGAACACTGTGCGTCATTGTGCTTTAAGGTTTATAACTGGTACTAGATGTTTTACACATCATTGTGATTTGTATGCAAAAGCTGAATTGCCTCCTTTTAGCGAATGGAGAAACAATCATTTAATGATCCTGGTTTATAAATCTCCACTCGGCCGGCCTCCAGCATTTTAAACTCTCTAACAGAGATCTGTTAGTTCTCATTCTTTATGCTTGAATGTTATTCTTCTGCATGTTCAACGTGTTTGAACTGAAAAAGGGAAGCAAGTATTCAGTGTGTTGCTCCTACAGCCTGGAATCAACTCCAGTCTAAACTCAAGATGTTGGAAATGATTTCATTGGATTTATTTCAATCGGTTCTTAAAGAAAGGCAACAAGAGTCTGTGAAACAGTGTCACTGCTTTTAACTTATTATTGTTTTATACTTGTGAATATTATTAATTGGTTTTAGTTTGTAACCAGCTTGCTGTGTGTTGCAGACTTTCTGCCCAGGTCCCTCTTGAAAATGAGATTCAGATCTCAACGGGGTTAACTGGTTAAATAAAGGCAATAAAAAATAAATATATCTCATTATAGTATCTCAAAATGTCGAGATTTTTCTATCATTTCTTTTACCAGAATGGCAGAAGCAGGCTTCCGTAGAGGTCAGAGGGGAAAAGAGAAACTCTTGCAGTGGGCGGAGCCAAATAAAAATGGTTCCTGCTTCTGATTGGACGGAACACGACGTTCAATCCGAACAGTAACTTTATAGGATGAAATATTGCTGATGATTTCAGTCGCTGCCATTTATTTAACTTCAACTCGCGGTTCACAACTGAACATGTCATTTTCCTAACTTCCAATTTTTTAAAAGTATCTCATTTCTTCATTTCCTCCTTCCTCTGGCCTAGCAAACACCCAGAATGCATTGCGGCGTAAACGGCCTCCGTGAAAATAATTTATAAAAACGCTACAGTATTTTTTAAATGCATTTACATTGTTTAAGTGTTCACAGTAGTTTCTACTAATAGGTTACATTTCAAATTAAAAGCATCAACATTAATCACTATTTTAATCACTGTCAGTTTTTATTGCGGCGCTTCAAATTTAACTTAAAAATATTTACAAATGGCAGCTGAAATAATGCGAACCTGACATTGTTAAAAAGTGAACATAGAAATATTTAAAATATTGAGACAAAAGATGAAACTTTATTTTACTTCCAGAGATTTGCTGCTTTTCTTCTTGTTTCTTTCAGAGCTGAATCATGATGACAGATAAGAACCAAACCAAGCCCAGATTTGTTTCTAGAGAACTATATTTACATAATACTCTTGTTTTACAGAGAACCATATCAAAAGTATAAAATACTTACAAAATTCAGCTGCAATATATAAAAATAACTTCTATCTTCTCCAAATCATTAGGAAAGGTTTACATAACAAAAATATATTTATAGACATTTACAGAGAGCCGTTTGGGCCCAGAGGCTGCGGAACCGAGCCCTGCACGGGAAACCCAAACCCAACCAGACACAGTACAGTAGATAATCCCACGCTGTCGGGGTCAGAGGTCAGAACCGACCAGAACAGAACCGGAAACGTTCAGAGGCGATACTGGCCGTCCAAACACTGCGATCTGGATCAGAACCGCTTCACTTCCTGACCTGAACCTGCAGCAGATTAACACATTTACTGGGTTTTACTGCTGGATTAGACGCTGAAGGTCAGATTATAATCCGTGGCCTGGCAGACCAGATTCTGGGTTCAAGCCGCATTTCCTGCAGAGCTTCATTAATGCAGAGTGATCGCCACAGAAACATCCAGAAAGGAGCAGCTTTGCATAAACAGAACCAACTGTTGTTGTTTCCATAAATTTCCCTACAGTATGAAAATGAAGCCTGGAGGAGGAGGAACAAGATGGCCGCCGCAGGGCGGAGGAGCAGTGCAGTGGTTCAGTAGTACTCTTCATCAGATTCACGCCTGCCAGAACCAGGAAGCACCAACATCCAAGAACAGGAAGTCATCCTGGGAACGGGTCCTGGACCTCTGATGTCAGGAGCTGGGATTGGACAGGAAGTGGATCAAACTTCTGGGGTGCCTGGTGAAAGACCCGGGTCGGGTTCTGGATGGATCTGAGGTTCTGACGAGTCGATGATGTCATCAGCAGGGATCAATGAATACGTCATGAATCTGATTCAGACCCAATAACTGATCAACGGGAAGGCAGACAAACGAGTTCTGTTCTCCAATCAGATCCAACGAAACATTGGACCTGCAATCATTCTGATTGGTTACCAGAGTGAACCAATCAGAGAGCAGAACCAGAGTCTGGCTGGTTCTGCTCTCTGATTGGTCCATCTGCTGTGACATCAGAACATCTCTGACCTCCATGTTGGTTTTTCCAAACCGAAACGTGGACCAGAAGGGGCGTGGCTTTCAGAACAGGAAGTGATGTAACCTAAACCTTTAATGCCGTTTGTCCAGTCAAGAGCTGGAGTCACATGATGGTGCTGGTCCGGTCCGATTCTACCAGCAGAATCGCTCCATTGCTGGTCACAGTTCAGAGGTCAGAACCAACCGACTGTCAGCCGGTAAACAAACCGCCGCCCACTCCTCGTCAGAACCAGATCCAGAACCAGAACCAGAACCGGGTCAGGACCAGGCCTATGTGTGTCCGGCCAGCAGCTCGTCCAGGTCGGCCATCCACTCCTGCGTGCTCTGGCCCTTCAGCAGCGAGTCGACCAGCTCGCTCTCGGCGGCGAAGCTTCCCGCTGCTGCGTTGTATCCGAACGACAGCTGCTGCAGCTGCTGCAACTGCTGCAGCTGCTGCTGGCCGCCGCCGCGGCTCACCTGGTAACCTTGGTTACACGGCAGCGCCTGGCGCCCGCCAGCCTGCGGCGCTCCGTACGCCACCAGGTCCGGCAGCACCGGCCCGCTCTGATTGGCCGGCTGATGCTGAGTCTGAGCGGCCGGCGGCGCCCTCTGCTGGGCGGCCATGTTAGTCTGCATCATCTGCTGGTTGAGGCCCGGCACCACAGTGCGCCCACCGAAGGAGGCGGAGCCGGCGGCCATCTTGGGGATGCGTGGCTGCTGCATGTGAAAGGCGTTGGCGGCAAAGGCGTTGGCATGCATCGCCGCGGCGCTGGCCGGCTGCTGCTGCCAGGCGGCGCCCGCCATGGCTCCGCCCATCCCGCCCGCCTGCATGCGCGTGGCGGCCAGCTGCTGCTGCTGCTGCTGCTTCAGCATGGTGGCGCCGGGCGGCTTGAGCAGCTGCTGCTGCGGTAGCTGCCTGTAGGGGGCACCCATGGGGCCCAGCGGCTGGCGCTGCTGGCTGGGGTGAAGGGTCATGCCGCTGTACAGCGAGTCCACGCTGGCTCCGCCCCCTCCACAAGACGGCAGGCTGATGTCAGCCTGACTGGCTGCAGGGGGCGCAGCCACGCCGCCACTGGGCCCCGCCCCCTGCGCAATGCTCATTCCCATCATGCCTTGGTTCTGGGGGAACTTGCGGGCGCCGGGGGCGGGGCTTCCCATGGAGCCCATGTTGCTGATTGGCTGAGAGGAACCTGAGAAAAAAAAAAAAAAAAAAAAAAAAAAAAAGAAATCAGTCTAAACTAAATATTTTACAGTTTATGGAAACAGGATCAGTAAGTAATTTGTAATCCAAACTGTTCTGGTCCAGAGACCAGACTTGGTCCGGTTCTGGGAGGCTCAGCGAGGAACCAATCAGAACCTGACCCGGTTTTAATGAGCCGTCTGCAACCTGCAGAACCGACCGACTGGAGGAACAGAAATATATCATAGCCAAGTTAAAATAAACTTTGAGCTGCCATGTTGCGCCGTTACGTTACGTGACGTTACGTGACGTTACGTGACGTTACGTGACGTTACGTTACGTGACGTTACGTGACGTTACGTTGCGTTGCGTGACGTTGCGTTGCGTGACGTTACGTTGCGTGACGTTACGTTGCGTGACGTTACGTGACGTTGCGAGACGTTGCGTGACGTTACGTGACGTTGCGAGACGTTGCGTGACGTTACGTGACGTTGTGTGACGTTACGTGACGTTGCGTGACGTTACGTGACGTTGCGTGACGTTACGTGACGTTGCGAGACGTTGCGTGACGTTACGTGACGTTACGTGACGTTGCGTTGCGTGACGTTACGTTACGTGACGTTACGTGACGTTACGTTACGTGACGTTACGTGACGTTGCGTTACATGACGTTACGTGACGTTGCGAGACGTTGCGTGACGTTGCGTGACGTTACGTGACGTTGCGTGACGTTACGTGACGTTGCGTGACGTTACGTGACGTTGCGTTGCGTGACGTTACGTGACGTTGCGAGACGTGACGTTGCGTTATGTTACATGACGTTGCGTGACGTTACGTGACGTTGCGTGACGTTACGTGACGTTGCGTGACGTTACGTGACGTTGCGTGACGTGACGTTGCGTGACGTTACGTTACGTGACGTTGCGTGACATGCGATGTTTGTCTGTGGAGCCGCAGAACCAACACATCCTTTATTTCCCAGTCAAATGAGCTTCGATCCAAAACCGTGACAAACAGAAACAAACAAACGCAGCTGAGGAGGAACTAAAGAACTGAAACAGCTTTCATTTAAATTAATTTGCTGTTTAAAAATAAAAGATGAAAGCAGCAGAACCACCCGGCCTGCTGAGAACAGGCTCTGGTTCTGGTCCTCCAGTTCCATGTTTAACTGCGAGTTCTGCTGGTACCGGCCCGGTGTGGTCCGGCTGAGCGGCTCTACCTGTGAACGGCGCGACGTTCTGCTGG